AGGGAGGGTGGGAGGGGAGGGGAGGGAGGGAGAACTGGGGTTGGTATGCAAAATCATTTTTTTAGATTAAAAAAAAAGGAAGAAAGCAGGTTGAGCAGGCCATGGGGAGCCAGCCTATAAGCAGCTCTTCTCTATGGCCTCTACTTCAGCTCCTGACTCCAGGGTCCTGCCCTGATTCCCTTGGACGATGGACTATGAAATAAACCCTTTCCTCCCAAATTGTTTTTGGTCCTGGTGTTTCATCACAGCAACAGAAACCCTAAGACACCTACCTGGGGACAAGGCAGAACTCGGCAGTGATAAAGTTGTCCAAGTCCCCACACTAGTGTGAACTCAGCCATCCAACAGGACATGAAGCTAAGCTGGGCTCTGTGACACCTCTCAGTATTAGATGCCAGTGCTAAGCCTGGCCCACAGCTGTCTGCTGGGGAGGGCTGACCTGCTGTAACCCCAGGTGCTACCTCCTTGCAGATGGCTGTCCTCCCACTGCACTTGGGCTGCTGGTAGGTCTTGGGAAGTGCCCGATAGCTGGATCCAATTCGCTTACAAGATGCGTAGTCAATTTCTCTGCTTATGCCATCTCCAGACCGGTCACTCATAGGTGGTGCGAAGGACAGCTCTTTCACTCCCAAAAAGGACTTGAACTGTGCAAAGAGTTCTGGAAATTTCCTTCAAAGACAGACAGAAACTGTAAGTGGGCACTGGACATCTTGAGAATGATCTAGAGTCATCATGAAAACGGCCTTGTGCATGTGGAACTTCAAAGATGGCCTGAGTAAGAGTTCAATGTTAGGAAAGGGAGGGAGGTCCTCCCTCCTTATCCTCAACACATCCCCTCTCACAACTATAAAACTTGCCAGCTGCACTAAGCCACGAAGCATAATGGGAATAACCTCTGTGGGCCCCACAGCCTTCCTTCTCTGTCCTGTAACTTAAAAACAAACAAAGAGGGGGCTGGAGAGACAGCTCAGAAGTTAACAGCACTGGCTGCTCTTCCAGAGGGCCCAGGTACAATTCCCAGCAATCACATGGCAGCTCACAAATGTCTGTAACTCCAGTTATAGGGGATATGACACCCTCACACAAAATGTGCATGCAGGCAAAACACCAACACACACAAAATAAAAATTAATTAATTAAAAAAAGAGAAAGAAAGAAAGCCGGGTGTAATGACACATCATTAACCCCAGCACTTGGGAGGTAGAGGCAGATAGACCTCGGTAACTTCCAGGCAAGCCTAGTCTACACAGTAAGTTCCACACTCAGGGCTATGAGAGAGACCTTGTCTCAAACAAACACAACAAGATCCTCCAAAACAAAAGAAGAAACAACAACAAAACCACTCAAGTGTCCCAACAACCCTGTGACTGGTCAGTCTGCTAGAGGTTCACAGCAACTTAGGCCCAAGCTACAGTCTGGAATGTTCTAGGCTAGAAACGAACTCATTTAGCCTATTCAAAATGACAGACGTGCCGAGTGGTGGTGGCACACGCCTTTAATCCCAGCACTCGGGAGGCAGAGGCAGGCGGATCTCTGTGAGTTCGAGGCCAGCCTGGTCTCCAGAGCGAGTGCCAGGACAGCCTCCAAAGCTACACAGAGAAACCCTGTCTTCAAAAACAAAAACAAAAACAAAACAAAACAAACAAAAAAAGGCAGACACCAGCCTTGCCCCCAAGGCCTGACAGAGCTTCTAGTCTCGGGCTGTCCCCAGGCCTGGGCAGAGCATTCCTGCCTGTCGCTGTCCCTCACAAAGCCACAGGCATCACAAAGCTCCCTGTCCTATGCTGGAGTCCTTCGGCAGGCTGGGTTTGTCTCCTCTAAGGAGGCTGAAACTGGACTCCAAGGCAGGAGCCTAAGGTCGATAATGGCCCTTGAATCAGGCCAGGTACCACATGCTACAGTCATGCAGCTCATGGACTGTTTCTGTAAATAAAGCTTTACTGGCACACAGTTCTGTCCCACTTACTTATTTCTGTCCATGAGGGCAGAACAGAAAGCAGCTGTGTCCATTGTGTTAGTTTCCCTCCCTCATGAGGGGAACCCCTCCCCAAAAGGCCCCTGTCTTCTTTCTCAGAAGTCAGGACACATGTTAATAAGGCAATTTTATAGGAACTGACATCCAATGCTACCTCAATTTCTGTTCATTTTTTTTTTTAAACTTAAAACCTTTAAATTGGTATTCCACGTGTTTATTTCACTGCTGTAGGGAGGGCACATGTGATGTGGAGGTCGTGGACCGACCATTTGAAAGGGGGCATACGTGCAATGCAATATACATACACATAAAAACTTGAGAAATTCAGGGCTGGAGAGATGGCTCAGAGGTTAAGAGCACTGACTGCTCTTCCAGAGGTCCTGAGTTCAATTCCCAGCAACCACATGGTGGCTCACAACCATCCATTATGAGATCTGGTGCCCTCTTCTGGTGTGTAAATATACATGGAAGCAGAATGCTGTATACATAATAAATAGATAAAAAAAAAGAATGTTTTTTAAAAAACAAACAAAAAAACTTGAAAGATTCAAAAAAGAGAAAAACATCACTAACTACAAGCTGACAGCTCCACACACTACAGATATGGGCTGTGCCAGGAGGCAGCCTGAGCAAGGCCACTGAGAAGCTGCCTTTGGTGCCACTGCCCAGTGTCCTGCAAAAGGAGGACATCATCAGTCCCCAATACCAACATCTGCAGCTTGTAAATCACAGATAAAATGTTCACCCAATGGCGACAGCTCTCAAATCATCATAAGCCAAGAGTCATGATCTGAGACAAGGACATTGTCCACACACAGAGTACAAGGTCACTGGAATCCAGGGACTGTAAGCTATTGTGACCACCTAGCACTAGGGATCTGCTTTAAGTCAGTTTTTACAAATGTGACTCTATCAACAATAACTGGGGAACAACTTTAATCGATGAAGAAAAACACAGGTGAGTGAGAAGGCTCAGTGGGTCAAGGTGCTTGCTGCCAAGGCTAACAACCTGAGTTAGCTTCCTGAGACCCACACGGTGGGAGAGAACCCACACTCAAGAACTTGTCCTCTGGCCTCCACCTGTGCACACAACTTTGAAAAGAAACACACACACACACACACACACACACACACACTTCACGGCTCACTTCCCCAGGTCTGCGTGTGGGAATGGAGGAAGTCGAGAGCCACTCACCCCAGGAACGGGCTGACAAGCTGCAACAACTCAGAGCCGGACACCAGCTCCTGGTTGAAGAGCGCGATGCAGCGCAGAAAGTTCTCATACACCTCCTGGCTCTTCAACACCCTGCGCACCTGTGGGAATACGGAGTCGCGTATAGGGACCCTGCCGCAGAAGCCACACGTGTGCGCGTGTGGGCCGGAACCATTTGGGGCGGCTCTGCAGCCTGTGCTGTTTTCCCCCACGCACCGCACCACGGTGACCCTGCTTCGGCACCCGTTGTCAGGTCCGGTCCGGGGCAGCTGTGCCGGGAGGATCGGGCCAGCTCGCTCACCTTGTCGAAGAAGGAGAACTCCTGCAGTGTGCCGTACTTCCCCACAGCAGCGATGGACAGGTCTTTGGTGCCTCGGAGCTTCATCTTCTTCTGCAGAGAGAAACCCTTGGCTTAACTACGTGTCTCCACCCCAGGCACTGCGGGGTACACGGCCCCCGGGGATGTTCCAAATGCAGGGGGCCCTGTCTGGGAACCCCGGGTGAGGTCTGACCGGCCAGCATCAGGGTGCTGTTCCCTCCTTGGCCCTGTGTGATGTGGGGGGCCCAACTCAGGATCCGAGGAAAAGCGAGCCCACAGGAGCACCCTGTCAATCACATTTGGGGTCTTAAATTCCTGCTTTGACTTTTTTTTCTGCCGTCCTGGGGATCGAACCTGGCGCCAAGCGGACTTGGAAGGCTGTGGAGAGCAATCTGGGCCACAGGCATGTGGGGTAATGTTCCACATCCCACGAGAGCCAGGGAAAGCACGGGGCCCACACGATCGACAGTCACGGGAAAATGAACCCAGGGTCTCACGCATGTGCAGTCAAGCGCTAAGGAATTAGAACTCGGGCCTCACAAATGTTGGGCAGGTGCTTATAGGCAGGGGACGTGGAACCATGGCGTTGTGCATGCTCTGCAAACTGGGAAATGGAACCTGAAGACCTCGCACAAGCTTGGAAAACAGACTGGGAAAATGGAACTCAGGGTTTTCCGTATGCTCAAAAGACATGGGAGAGCTCAGTGTGTCACGCATTCCAAGACGACTCTAGGAAACAGAACCTAGAGCCTCGAGCAGGTTTGTAGACACGGACTGGGAACATGTAAGCCAGGAACTCGCGCATGCTTAGTAGACACGCAGTGAGAAAAATGGAAGACAGATTCACGCATGCTCAGAAGACACTACCTGGGAAACCGGAAGCCAGGCCATTGTGCGGGGTCAACTGACAATGACTGGGGCAACCGGGCCAGGGGCATACTCAGTAGATGTTAGTGCTGTATTCTGGGGCTTTAACTCAGTGATCCGAGAAAGCGCTGTGCCAGTGAGCTGCTCCCCAGCCCTTACCCTGGACTCCAGGACACACACACTGGAGTTATTGTCTATCCTGTGGGCCAGAGGGTGGCTAGAAGCCAGGGAGGGAGCAACACCAGGGATATCCTGAGCAAGCCAGGTCTAAGGCTGTGTGTAGACCATTTGTCTCTAAACTGGACTTCAGGACAGGGACAGCAACTCTGCAAGTAAAGAGATCTGCTTGAAAACCCGAGAATCTCAAATAAACTCTGAAGTTGTCTTCTGATCGCAGACATGCTTGTCTCTTTGTTCTCCTCTCCTCCACACCCCACCCCACCCCCCAGACTTGGACCTGCATTTGACCCAGGCCCATGTCATGAAGCACCCTGCTGTACAGCCAGTCAAGAGCAGCCTGAAGAGATGGTTCCACTGGCCGGCCAGTCCAGGACAGCTCGAGTGTCAAGATACCAGTAATAGCAATGAACTGTGACTTGAGGTTGACACTGCTGCACATAACTAAATAAACAGAAATGCCAAAACAACTTTATTACTATAGAAAGTCAACTAGCAAACACACGGAATGAGAGAACTAGAGGTCCACCATCACGGGGTGATGAGCGGGGCAGGAACTGTTGTCAGCCACCTTCACTCCTCAGTTGTGCAGTAACCAAACCATACAACTGCACATTTCAATTGCAGTCCCACCTACGAAAGAGTCGTGACAGTCAAAAGGAGAGTGAGCAGCACACCACGCCTTTCCTTCCAGCTCCCCTTCCTTCCAGCTTACAACCTCAGGTCAGGACCGCAGGTGTGAGCGCCAGCTCAGCAGACGTCCCTCTCCAGCAGACTAGTCTCTGGCCTCCACACCACTCCCGTCATGTGCAGCTAGAACCCACCACCCATTACCTTGGCTGGAGCAGACACAGGGCGCAGGAGTGAGGGCCGAGAGCGCTTCTTGTTGTGTTCCAGGCTCTTCTCCTCGCTCTTCTGTACACTGTTCATCTCACACGACCCACTGCCTGTGAACTAGGACACAGAGACAGGTGTCAAACTGGAGAAAGAAAGGCACATGCAGTCAGTTTAGGTTTGAACTGTAGCCCTGGTACATAGGCCGGGCCTCAGAACACTGGGTGAATGTTTGTTGTACACAGCTACAAGGCTTCCAGCAACCTTGAGAGGCTAAGGAGAAGACACACACACACACACACTCACACCACACACACTCACATACATACACACTCACGAGCACACTCACATGCATGTGCGCGCACTCACACATGCACACTTAACATACACACACACACACACAGAGGAAGGCAGAGAGTGAGACAGACTGACTGACTAAAGGCAGACCCAGCAGAAGGAATCCACAGTTTCAGTCAGGAAAAGCCCTTGAGTGCACACAGCAGCACTCTAAGGGACATTTCTAAGGGATCATCTCTGGGATGAGAAAAATGTCACAACACTAAAGGCCTAGCCTTCAGCCATAGATAAGGCAGCCCCCAAATCTAACAGCCAGTCATGGCAGAACATTGTTGCTATCTTAACCCTCAGGAGGCTGAGGCAGGAGAAGCACCAGTTTGAACCATTGTGAGCTACATGGCCAGACACTGTCGCAAAATAAATAGCTCAATTAGTCAAAGATTCAAAACTGTTCCATGATCCCAAGTAAAGTGATATTCATTAGGAATTCTTCACTGGAATCCGTAAAGATCCAAGCTCCCAGTTCTGAAGAGGCAGGTGGGAGCGGTGCAGAACACGTAGAGAGGCTTGGGCCCTCAGCATAGCTAGTCCTACACAGCCGCATGCACTCTTTTATTCTTCTCCAGACAGACACCAAATCAGGGCTGGTGGCCAACTACTCACAGGGCCTATGGCCAATGGCCACAGCCATTCATTCTGTAAATGAGGTTTTATTGGTTTGCAGCCAGCCCCTTCATTCTGTGAAGTTTTAATGACAGCCAAATAATAGTAAATAGCCCACTTTGGAAATAAAGTTTTATTGACACACAGCCACACCCATTCACTTTGCAGGGAATACTTGGACCAGACAGACTGGTGCTGACAGCCAGATTTAGTAAGGATGACACCAGTTTATCCCTAGCTGAAAATGAAGACTGCAAAGGTCTGTAACCTCACAATGTGAACCCAACAGCTCATGAGATGGACAGGGTCCCTCTGCCTCGATGCACAGGACAGCCACTCACTGTTGTTAGAGGCGGGGATACTGTGGACCCCTCAAATCATGGCAATGACACAGAACAAACAAGTTCAACGAATGGTTGTGACTGCTGGTTCCGGAGCTGTTTGTTTAGAGACAGGGCTTCCCTGTGTAGTCATGGCTGTCCTGGAACTCCCTCTGTAGACCAGGCTGGTCTCCACCTGCCTCTGCCTCCCAAACAGGAGCTGTTTCTTTATGATTATCATTCTTGTTAAGTCTCAAAGAAACCCTGGATAAATGCTGACTGAAGCACCTGTCTGTCTCAACACAGGCAATAGCTGATTGAGTCCTGGCACCGTTTAGCATTTCTCACCCTAAGTGCCCCCCTTGGCCTCTGGGTTTCCAGGTACTCTCTCTCCTCTTCCTCTCTCACCACCCCCACAGCTATGCTCAGTTTGTACTGTACCAGATGGCTCTGGTTATGGTCTCCCTCATGTCTACAATAAACCTTCTCCTCAACCATACCTAGGAGTGGTCATGCCCTCCCCCCCTTTTCATTTCATCTGGTGAGGAGATACACACGTGCACACTGCAGCACAGACCAAGAGAGAACCAGGAGTGGAGCCAGCCAGAAGCCAAGAGACTGCATAAAGACTGTTATAAAGGGATTGGAGCCCCTAGAAGACAGAGATTTAGGGTAGGGGTGGGACGAGAAGTGAAGAAAGGAGCCAAGGCTTTTTTTGGGGGGGGGGGTTCGAGACAGGGTTCCTCTGTGGCTTTGGAGGCTGTCCTGAACTAGCTCTTGTAGACCAGGCTGGTCTCGAACTCACAGAGATTCTCCTGCCTCTGCCTCCCAAGTGCTGGGATTAAAGACATGTACCACCACAGCTTGGCAGGAGCCAAGACTCTTTTTTTTGGGTTGCTGTTGAAGATTTATTTATTTATTTGTTTGTTTGTTTATTTATTTATTATGTTTTCAGTGTTCGGCCTGCATGTATGCCTGCCGGCCAGAAGGGGTCACCAAATCTCATTATAGATGGTCGTGAGCCACCATGTGGCTGCTGAGAATTCAACTCAGGATCTTTGGAAGAGTAGGCAGTGCTCTTAACCTCTGAGCCATCTCTCCAGCCCCGAGCCAAGACATTTTTTTGGGGGGGGGGCTTTTTTGAGACAGTGTTTCTCTGTGGCTTTGGAGGCTGTCCTGGAACTAGCTCTTGTAGACCAGGCTGGTCTCGAACTCACAGAGATCCACCTGCCTCTGCCTCCCAAGTGCTGGGATTAAAGGCATGTGCCACCAACGCCCGGTGCCAAGACTCTTAATAGGTAGTAGTGGCCACACTTAGACTGGCAGTGTGTCTGCTTCAATATGGTAAATAGGCACCTTAGCCATTTGTCCTGGGTTTCTTCAAGACCTAACAATTACTATTTTACATCTTATTATATAGCCTTTGGCCTAGAACTCACAGAAAGCATGCAGGGATTAACAGTCTGTACCATCAGCCTGGCCCAGCAGACAAGCTGTTTGGTGTTTTTGGCTTTCCTGTGGTTAGGATGGAGCCAGGGCCTCAGGCAAGCTGCTAGTTGAATTGGCTTTACTATCCCCTGGCTCACCACCAGCCCAGAAGGCAAAGCCACACAGGCCTACCACTGCAGAAAGCAAGGGAGCCAGGAAGTAAGACTTGAGGGCTACGAGCCCCTCAACTCAAGACTCCCCTGAGCTTCAAGCCCACTGCTCCCTGACACCATCATTCCATGCCATGAGGGGTAACTCAGGAAGGGCAGTGGAGGATGGCACAGGCTCCCAATCCCAAGGGGTGCTGAGACACAGTCATGCTGCTCAGATGTAACACCCAGATCTATGGACAAGACCCAAATACCAGCCCCAGCTTGAGTAGCAGCTGACAAGAAACTCATCCTAATGTATAATCTGTGGCCATGCCACCAGGACCCTGGAGGGAACACCCCTTCCTTCGCACTATTATGGTCCCCAGAGGCAGTTGGGATTCTCCTGATAGGCATGGGATACCAGGCTCATGTAGTGACGGCTCTGTGTGCCCTGAGGTCCTAGCAGACAGGATGTGCAGCCTGGCCAGAAGGAGGGTGAGGGACCATCAGTCCCATTGTTTGGTGTGTCTGTGGAGCAGCCTCTGCCACAGTCCCCACACAGCAGACTCCTCACAGCAGACTCAGAGTCCAGGGAGGACCTAGGGAACCATGAGCCAAGATGAACCCTTCTTCCAATAGGTTCTGCCCAGGGTCTGTCACAGTGACATTAGAATAAGACAACAGCCATGATTTCAAAGGGGACCCTCAATGGAATGTCTCAACTTCAGAGAGAAACGGGCAGACGGGGACTCAAGACAGCGGAAGTGAGGAGGGCCCTAGTCTCTCTCCAGGCACACTCAAGAGCCTCTGTAGGTTTGTGCAGCTCCAGGGACATGGCGTGGGTTAGTGCTGCTCACCCATGTGCACATTCAGGGAGGCAATGACAGGAGCATGCCTCTGCAGTTTGTTCCAGGAGCTGGAAATGCACTTAGCACCTAAAGTGAGGTAGCAGCTCTCATGGTATCACCTGAGTGGACAGATGTCACAGCTCCGAGGAGGAAGGAAGGCCCAAGGGCAATGTGCATCATGGCTCTACATAAAGCTGGAAGGCACAGCCAGCCACAGGGCTTCCACGGCTCTGCCGTCATCTGGGCCTTGAAGGGCAACCAGACACCAGGTAGCAGTGATCATCAAGCCACAGCCTTAGGCTGATACTGTGTTCAAGACACGGTGACAAACCAGGCCACACCTGGCCACAGGGCTGGGTAAGGCTAAGGGAAGTGAGGACGACGCAGGTCTAAGGGAAGCCTGAAAAACATGCTAGGATGCACACTTGAGTAAGCCAAAACCAGGCCAACGTCAAAAACATGGCTCAGTGGGTGAAGTGCTTGGACCCGTGTGTGAGCCCAAGACATAAAGGATGAAAGGGGAAAACAGACTCCCCCCAAGTTGTCCTCTGACTGCCATACCAGCTGTGACTCCCTCCCTCCCTCCTTCCCTCCCCCCCCCTCTCTCTCTCTCTCTCTCACACACACACACACACACACGGGATGGAAAGAAAAAAAAAAAAAAAAAAAAAAAAAAACAACAACCCAGGAGTAGTGAGTGGCCCATGAGTGATTCCCAAACTCAGGGAGCCTAGCCAGGAGGATCACAAGCCTGAGCTACACTAAGACCAAGTCTAAAAGAGAAAACAAACAAAAATCATACTCAACAATCAGGGGTCTCAAACACTGTAGCAGTTCCAACCAGGAAGAAGGTGGAGGGCGCTGGCTTCCTGCTCTTGAATTCACTGCAAGGCTGCCGTGGTAAACTTCAAAGCTGTCTCTCAGAGAACTCTATTTCTCTTTTCTAGTCCCTATTCAATTAAACCAATGCTGGATTTAGAGGTGGATTTGGCTTTCCTCCTCTAAAATCCAAGCACGTTATTTAACTAAACTTTAGAGTTTCTGTATTGTATCAAGAAGCCAATTGATGTAATACAGAATAAAAAGAATTTGGGGACTGTGTTTTTCTTTTCTTGGATCTTTCTTTCAAGGCCTACAACCTCTCATAATTGTTATGCTCCATGATTGCATTCCCCAGCATGTGTACATACACAAGCAAATATTTCTCTGTTTATGTTTGAGTCCCACACAGCCAATGAAGACCTGCCTGACAGCAATCCCTGGACACCCTGGAAAGAAAACAGGCCACACCTCCTCGACTGCATTGGATCCAACTTGCTCCATTTCAATCAAATTAAGGATTTCAAGCGAGATCTTCAATCAAGTGAATCCCATCTAACATGGACTGGATACCATCCATTCAAGACTTTCAATATACTAACATTTTCTTCCTACCGGACCCCACAAGGCTATCGTCATCCAATTTCAGCAGGAAATAACTTGGAGGATGCTACCCCCCCTCCCCCCCATTGTTGTCACTTAGGATAGTGTATATACCTAGTTAGGGATAGCTTCCTATTGTTTATGGTTGGGATTGGAAGGAGGGGTTCAGGCTTGAACACCTCTTTCAGATGACTTTAGGGTTTGGTTAAAATAGTTAGGATGTGACATAAGCAGATTGTTGTATCTTCTTATATTTCACCTTTATGATTGTTAATTTTGGATACTTTACACTGTTAAGTTTTAATCCTCTTTTAGCCTAAAAGGGGAATTGTAGGGGAACCTGTAGCCACGCCTGCTTAGGGGCTGGCTACAGGTCTGCCTGACCATGCCTGGGGTGACGTAGAGAGAGAGGTTCAAGGCTGCGTTTTACTTTTGGTTTGCCCTTTTGGCTTGCGTACAGACTGCTGCCACGCCGGCTGGCTAGGTCGCTCTATAAGTAAGGCTTTTCCCTATTAAATACCCTTATATTTCTACTTGGCTCAGTATTGGTAATTTCCCTTTAATGCCAGGCTAGCCTGAGAACACACAGAGACCAACAGATGGCAACCCACTTGTCACACGCACCCACATGCATGGTGACATTGTCAGCATGGTGCCAAGCATGGCAGCTGCTCCACAGCAGTGGACAAGTAACCTGAAACTGAACCCACCTCACGCTCCACATACAAAATGCAGCTGAAGTTCAAAATTGCAGGAAAATAGGGAGAACCTCAAGACCCCAATTGTGCAACAGCTTCTAAAGCTTAATACTAAGAGTGATGTGAGAAAAAAATTAATCATGACTTTGTGCATTAAAAACATGACCAAGCAGAGAAAAGACGACCGGAGATGGAGATGAGAATCTGTAGCTCAAACATCGAAGAGTCTGTGGGTGCACAGCAAGGACTCAGTCAGCTGCAGCTGCAAACAGATGGCTCAGTGATTACAAGCATCAAGTGCTGGCTGCTCTTACAGAGAACCCAGGTCCAGGTCCCGGCACCCATGTGGCGCTCACCACCACCTGTTACTCCAGTTCCAGGGTATCTGGTGCCCTCTTCTGGCCTCCATAGGCACCTACAGCCATATGATGCACATAAACTCACAGACAAAACACACACACACATAGATAGTCATAAATAACACATCTTAAAAGCCAGTACACAGACATGATACACTGGAGAATGCAGTCAAAGCCAAGACACATCCCACGTGATAGTTGTCGAACAGTTAAAGACAAAGTGGACATGGGGAAATGGAGCCACTGATGAGAAAACACTTCTAAATTATTCTTCAGAAAGTTAAATCAAACTGTCGTGTTTGCAGAAAGCCCACGAAGGCACAAGGCCAAGCCACGAAGGCCAAGCTGCCATCAGGCATCCAAACAATTAATTCCAAACAATTACTTGTACAAGTCCATTCATGGTAGCATTAGTCCCAACAGCTTCACAGCCAACCATACCCCCATGTCCACAGCACTAATGGATGGAATGGACAAACCCATACTCAGGAACACTTTTATTCAGCCATTATTCAACTAACAGGAGGAAACACTAGCAAAAGCTAAACGCAGACAAATCTGAAAGACATGGTACTGTCATAGACCACAGACCAGTGATGAATGTCCAGAAGAGGCAAATCCAGGTAGGAAACAGACAGGAAGCAGGCTGTGGGGTCAGTGGGGTGAGTGCTAATGGGAACAAGGGCTCATATAACCTGTAACTGGCTAAAGGGACAGTTGTGCTACATGGCAAGCAGACTGTATGGCTTGGAATTATGTCCTTTTCTATAGACAGTGTCTACATAGTCCTGAATAGATGGAACTTGCTAGGCCAACCAGGCTGGCCTAGAATTCAGAGACAGCCTACCAAGAGGCCTCCAAGTGCTGGGATTAAAGGTATATGCTACCACACCTGGCACAGAATTGTACACTTTAAAGTGAAGAAGTAGAATTTCATCTCTACTTTTCTTTTTTGGTTTTTTGAGACAGGATTTCTCTGTGTAGCTTTGGAGCCTATCCTGGCACTCGCTCTGGAGACCAGGCTGGCCTCGAACTCACAGACATCTGCCTGCATCTGCCTCCTGAGTACTGGGATTAAAGGCGTGAGCCACCAACGCCCGGCAACTTTTCTTTTCTTTTTTAAATTATTATGTATACAACATTCGCTTCCATGTATATCTGCACACCAGAAGAGGGCACTAGATCTCATTACAGATGGCTGTGAGCCACCATGTGGTTGCTGGGAACTGAACTGAGGACCTCTGGAAGAGCAGTCAGAGCTCTTAACCTCTGAGCCATCTCTCCAGCCCCTCACCTCTACTTTTCAAAAAGACAAATACGCATAAGGAAAAAAGAAGAGAAGGAGGCAGCAGCCTGCACCTCTGGCAGGCCTCAGGCCACAGGTGGGCAAGAAAACCAAGTGCAGTCTGGTTCTGGGCCATCGCACATTCCACACCCCACACTTCTGCAAGCCTGGGACTACAGTCCTCACACTGGCTCCATCTCCATGTGAAGCAATGCTCGTCCTCCAACAGTACTGCAGTCACAGTGCTTATGACACACCTGTCAGCTCCTCATGCAGCTTGTGGGGAAGAACCCAGGCACTTGGCACTCACCAGGGACCGCTTTGCCTCAGGCAGGAACTGTCCAAACTCTGACAGCAGGTCCTCCTGACCACGGAAGAGATTGGCCACCTCTGTAAAGACCTCCTCCTCAGACATACCACGGAATGGACGACCCTTAGTATGCAGCTGCTCCTTCTGCAAGTGGGAAGAAGAAAGGAGAGTGAGGCAAGGCGCCAGTGTAGGCATGGGCATGGGCAGCTGTGTAGACTTCAGCCCCATGTCTACACTGCCAGGGTATTCTGCTCTGGTGGCCTGAGCCCTGCCATAATAGAAGGGAAGGGCATGGAGGATCACAGAGCAATGGAAGAGTAGGCACCAAGTACGAGAGAAATTTGGTGCCCTTATAAAGAGGGAGACAGGCCTGCTGGGTCAAGGGATGGACGGTCAGCAAAGAGTTGCTCCCAGTTAGCCGCTGGACTGAGAGAGAGCCAAGGTGAGGGAAAGCTGAGGTGTGAAAGGCAGGCAGGCAGATCTGGAGCTAAAATCAAAAGCACTGACAGAGAATGGGGATGAGCCTTTCATTACAGGAAATGGAGGCAGGAGGATTGCCAGTTCCAGGCCAGGCTGAGATATTGTTTTTCTTTCTTGTTATTTGAGACAAGATTTGTGTAGCTCTGGCTGTCCAGAAACTCTTTGTAGACCAGGCTGGCCTCAAACTCAGAGATCCACCTGCCTCTGCCTCTGCCTCCCAAGTGCTGGGATTAAAGGTGTGTACCACACCTGTCTGAGATACTGTTCTTAAAAAGAAAGAAAGAAAGAAATAAAGAAAGGAAGGAAGGAAGGAAGGAAGGAAGGAAGGAAGGAAGGAAGGAAGGAAGGGGGAGGGAGGGAGGGAGGGAGGAGGAGGGAGGGAGGGAAGGGGAGGGAGGGAAGGGAAGGGAAGAAGGGAGGACGGGCTTTGGCTAGAAATATGCCACCTTATATTCAGTGTCATAGTTGAAAGCAGAGTGGTGGGCACACAATGTGGACAGCAGTCACTGGAGCTTAATGCCCCCATCAGAAAGGAAAGTTGCTTTGTTTGGGTTTTTTGGTTTTCTGCATAGTGCTAGGAATGGACCCAAGCAGCCCTGTGAATGGCACTCTTGGATCCAGGGAAGCAGTTGAATTCTTGGCATTTAGAGAGCCTACCAAGGGGAAGGAGAAATGGCCCTGAAGCCGATATTCTGGACTCAAGACTCCATGCACTCCATGCCTGTCAGAGCAGAATGGTGTCCCGGCTGTTCTTGGTGGTGTTAAGGCTCTCACAGTGGCTCAGGAGGCAGCCTGGGCTCAGGTGCAATCCAGAATGCCCTCAGAACTTATGACAATCCTCGTGACTCAGCATTGAATTCTGGGATAAAGGTATGTGCCACCATATCCGGCTTCAAAATACTGTTTAAAAAACATAACTTAGCAGCAGGCAAGATGGCTCCACAGGCAGGTGAGGTATCCCCGACCCAAAACAAAACTGCAAAGAGTAACAAGTGAGCATGGTGCTCTGGCCACCTCTCTATCCAGAGGGACGCAGACAAAGCTTAGGCTCTAAAAAGAGGCTGGAGGAGCCTTGAGCTGATCTTGAAGTGGGAACTGGTGCAGTGCATATGCCATGGCCAACACTCTGGGCATGTCCTCTGCAGGGACCCTGCTGTCACCAAGCTTCTTTAAACCAGGACATAGGCCTCTGCTGAGTCACCATACAGTATGGCTAAGGGGTGACCTGTGTTTGCTTGTAGTAAGTGACACACTTGTCTGGTGGCTAACTGCACCTGGCTGGCTGTTGTGCCCCCAAGAGTGCAAAACTATTTCAGCACCCCATATCTGTGCCCTCCCTGGAGGTCACGCCATGCTGGGGGCCACACTGTCACATGACTCAAGCTGCTTCCCCATCACACACTGATGGAGCCTGAGCTACCAAATATGGGCCCATCATTGGGGTTCTCCAGGTTCATGAAGAGCCTAGGTTAGCTCTATGATAGTGAACTTGTATGCCAAGAAATGTTACTTACCTGTGTATGGCCGGGGACATAAGCTATCACTTTAAGTCCTTTGTAAGAATTAAGGCTGTGTCCTTCATCCCCTCGACCTTTGTACAGGCTGTCCCCAGCCTTCTTTCTCCCTGCTACTGTACCAGGGGCTGGAGTGGCTGCCCACTCATCTCTCAACCCTTTTCCACCCCAACCTACTTCTGACTCCTTTACAGCTAGGCTGGACACTGGGGGTGTGCCCTGGCCGAGGAAGCTACCCGAGTCTCTGGCTGGGGTATGGCTTGGAGCACATGTCTGGCCGGCCTGTGAGGCCCTGGCCCCAGGTACTGCAGTAGGCGGGCCTTACCTGATAGGTGTGAAGGATCTCTAGGAAGGACCTGTAGATCTCAGGGTGGTCCAGAAAGCGGGTCTTGATCTTGTTCACATAGCTGATAGCATTGTTGAACTCCACAGAGTCCGACTCCAAGGGCACCTGGCCTCTGTCCTCCTTGTAGGACATCTGCTTGAAATCCTCCCCACAGTCACCATGGCTGTGGGAGTTCTCCTGCAAAATATAGGCAGTGGGGTGGTCAGAGACAATGAGTTGTCACTGCATGCTACAAGCATTGCTCCTGTAACACCCTGAGGGCCCATAGCAACCAAGTACCTCCTCCCTCTGGAGTCTCCCCTGGTCTCCCACACTGCAATTTCAACAAGGTCCACCCATGTAGTCCTGAGACTGGATCACCCTATGCAACCTGACTTTGACTCTGGCCAATCTCCTGCCTAGCCTCCCCAGTGCTGAGATAGAGATTTGCTTTCTACTCTTTAAGAGATCAGCATGCAGGGGAAAATCACAAATCTTGGAAGCTGAACATTGTTGGAGCTATATGCGGGGCTGTGGGTGATGTCCCCATCTTAGCAGGAGTATTCTTGAGTGAAGACAGCGGCTGCTAGCTTCAAGAGACCATCACAGTGCCTGCACATCTAACCACAGCTGGCCCAGGGGATTCTTACAACAGGGCCTCTGGGTGCTAAGCAGTAATAGGCATTAGCCAACAGAGTTAAATACTGAAAAGCATCTTACTTGTGCCTAGCTTTCTTCTGCTATAAACACAAACCTGTCTTTCGAATCCCTATGGAACCCTGCTTTCTAAGGAGAATTAGCACCCTGGTGTTTGATTTTCTGACAGTTCTAGGAGTGAACCTGGGGTCTCAAGTCCAGGCAAGTGCTTGACTGGAGCTGTAGCCTGGCCAGAACCCTGGAGGAACAGCAGCTAGGTTTTCTGGAACCATCCTATACTTGTACATTGGTCACTGTCACTACAGCTCAGCTTGAGATTCTAGTCAGATGACATGCTCACCATGATCTTCCAGAACCATCTTGTAGTGACTCTAAACACGTTTCCTGTTTTCCCCAGCAGCTCTGCCCACATCTGGGCAGCAGACACACATGGCACCTGAATAGTTTCTTGGACAACAGATCATTCTCAAGAGGCTGGAGGTGCCAGCAGCAAGCGATTTGGGATCCTGAGGGAAGACTTGTGCTGTGCCCTCAACACTTCTTAAAAGAATGCCAATTGCCAGGTGGTAGTGGAGTACCCCTTAGATCTCAGAACTCAGGAGGCAAAGGCAGGAGGAGCTCTGTGAGTTCAAGGCCAGCCTGGTCTACAGTGAGCTCTAGGACAGCCAGGACTACACAGAGAAACCCTGTCTGGAAAAAACAAAGAATGCGGGACAGATTTAATTAGTGCCCATCCAAATGGCCTCATCTGGTCCATGTTTACTCATTCAAGGCCCCATCTCCAAATATTAGTCCCTTAGCACCCAAGGGGAACAGGTTTCAGGACCCTTCCTTCTCCAGAGTTTTCAAATGCAGCCTAGCATCACACACAGCCCCCACAAGCACCCACCATCTCCAGGCATTTTATAACACCAGGCACACACTGTCAATAGTCCATCTTGCAGACTAGGGAATGACGGTCACATACAGAACAAGCATAGGTTGGGGTGTAGCTCAGATACATAACACCCCCCTCCCCCCAACAAGGACAAGGACCAGGTTCCATCCCCGGCACCCTAAGCCAGTCTGCATGCTCAGTACACACGTATATTCCCTTATATGTCCACTCTGTGGGCACCTCCTGTGGCAGCAGAACTCAAGGATCAGAGGCCAACAGGTGGTATTCTCAGGTATTAGGGGCTGAGCTTCAACAGACAACCAGAGACCAAACTGGGCACTGGACAATGGACAGACAAAAAGTGCTAAAAGGCAACGCTAAGGACACAGACACGGACTGCAAATGCAGCCCAACAATCAGGAACCCCCCTGCCCATGTTCAAGGTCACAGGGCAAGACTGGGACCTCCCCAGCCACTTAGGAACATACTCCAGCATTGTATGCTCCTTCTGCTCCCCTGAATAAGCCGGTACGGCATGACAGAGAGAGAGCCAGCTCTCTAGCCAGGGACTCTGTAGAAGGCACCAGACAGTGGTGAGAACAGTTACTATGGCAACAGTCTTCAGCTCAATAATCCAATGGAGAATTTCCCTACAATCAAGCAATTGCAATCCTACAAAGCAGAAAAACTCACACAGCAACATTCAAGGAAGCACAATTTTCAACAGCCAACAAAAAGTGGAAACAACTCCAACACCCACCAGATGGACGAACAAAACATAATCCATCCAGTGGAACATTACTCAAGAAAAGAAAATACCAACACATACTAAGATGCGAGTGACCATCGTGTGTAATCACTTATGTGGCATGCCCAGAACAGGTAGGGTAATAAGAGTGGTTGGCAGGGTCTGTTTTTGGGTGATACATGCATTGGAATGAGTGGTTACGACTGCACAGCTTTAATACATTTTTCTACTGTGATCTTTGGCCCTGCTGTGGACTTCCTACAACCGTCCCACCCTTTTCCCCTGGGGTGACTGTTTATATACTCATATTGTGCCCCACATCTGCCAAAGAACCACGTGGCCCTCTTGGATGTTCAGGAGCCTAAATTGCGAGCCCCAGCTGCCAGGACCTTGTGGCCTCTGCCTAGGAACCAACCTCCACCTCACCAGAAGGACCAGCCTGGGTCATACACACGCATTACCTTACTGAACCACTTCTGGGTCCTATCCTCCACGGCATGGGTCCTCCTCAATCTCTCAGGCCCCTGGGCTCCACTAGCTGATTCCTGACCCAGCAGCAAGAGTCTTCCTAGACATTATATGCCTTGCAAGCCTACCTCTCAGCTCCTCTCCAGCCCTGACCTACCTCAAAAAAAAAAAAAAAAAAAAAAAACCCTCCAAATGGCCCATCCCTTCAAGACCCTTGGCTCCTCCTTACTTGGGTCCACCCCCCACAAAGTCCCAGCTATTAACTGGTCTCTCCAGCCCTGACCTACCTCAAAAACAACCCTACAAATGGCCCATCCCTTCAAGGCCCTTGCTCCTCCTTACTTGGGTCCACCCCCCACAAAGTCCCAGCTATTATTAACTCTCTCACTGAGAGTCCCACACCCCAAATTAAACTGAGGGCCCAAGTCCAAGAAAGTGGTGGTTCAGAATTAATCAGACATACTGAGCCTCCTCAAAAGGGTGGCAAAGGGCCTCCTGTCAGTGCCCCCAAAGAGGTCCTAGGGAGCTATGTGTCCCATCCTCATCTGCTCACTGACATCTGTTTGCCTATTCCTCCCTTGACACAGCTCAGCGACAGAGAGGCAACTGGGAAGGGCACATGTAAAGGTTCTGCCTCCTCTGAAGAGCTTGGTCAGGATGGTACAAACACAGGAACACACTTGTCACAGCTGTAAGGGCCAGTGGGGGCTCTGAGGCAACAGCTCCCAAGATGCTTACTCAGGGAAAAGCAATAGCAGATCAATGGTTTCCAAGTTTCCTGCTAGTGGTGTGGCTATCTGTCCCCTCCTTTCAGAAGTAGATAAGATAGGGTCTTACTCTGCAGCCTAGGCTGGCTTTGAACTCATGGCAAACCTTCTGCCTCCTGAGTGCTGGAAGGACACCCTGAATTTAAGTTCCTAGTTCTGCTTGCCCTTCAAGTCCTGTGTCGTCAATAGGGCCGTGGTACTTACTAGCCTGACACTTTCAGCTGCTACAGCAAGGGTACTGGTGACCCTGGCATTGGAAGGGCAGACGCCCTGGGTGCTATACCACATGCTAGAGTGCAAGATTTCTCTCAACAAAGAATGAGGCTCAGAAACCCCACCATAGAATCCCCAATAGGTGGGCACTCCCTCAGCACCCTCCTCAACACATAAGGGGATAGTGCTCATCTGTGGTTGTCAGGCCAAACTAATGAAATGGAAATGAGGAGAAAAAAAAAAAAAAAAAAGCTGTATTTCAAAGCAGAGGCAGTAGGTGCCTATCATTACAGCAGTCTGGAAGCTGCATCAGGGGACTGACAAGTTCAAGTTCTAGGGCCAGCCTGAGATACAGAGACCATGTCTCAAATAAGGAAAATAGCAAAGACAGAAAACTGACTCGACAGAATTGAAATCAGCAGCTGCTGACATGTGGCGGGACCTGTAAGGTTTCCTGCTGCAATGGGATCTCAAAGGCTCCAGGAATCCTGAAAGACATCTGTGAACCGTTAGAAAGCAGGAAAACACCTGGGTCGCAATCAGGGCTGAGCACTAACAAACTGTAACTGAGACCAAGGGACTCCAGAGAACCCTGAGGGAATGTGACTCAAGACTGGCAGGAGTACGCTGTTTATGGGTCTAAGACCATCTCTGTCATCCTTTCTGTAAGTCACAGGGGCCCCTTGGTCACCTAAGCTACCTATGAGGGAAAACCTGCTACTGATTAGAGCCCTGTGAGATTATATATATATATATATATATATATATATATATATATATAGAGACTGTTCAGTCTACCCCTGCGACCCAGACCCTGCTCCCTGCAGCTTTCTAGGGAGCGGCAATGGTGTTCAGAAACACACACTCTAGGAGCTGCTCATCATTCTCAATAAAGCTCTCAGTGCTTTACAGTTCAGCCACACAAGTTCCAGGAGTTACTCTGCTAAGGATTTGGTGGCCATAGATCCTGGGTTCTAGGTACAGTTAGGAAATGCTAACCCATGAGAACAAGTGCGTCTGGAGGCTGATGGGTGGGACCAGCAGAACTTACACAGGAGCCACTCAGGGACCTGCTAGAGCCACAGCACCCTTCCAGAGTCCCTCTCCAGCTTCAGTGAAAGCCTGTCGTGGTGGCTGGCATCTGTCATCCTAGCACTTGGAAGGTTGAGGCATGATGATGAGTTTCAGACCTGTCTGTGCTATGATGAGAAAGTGACAGAGTAGGAGCAGAGGCTGCAGAGCCCAAGCCTGAGCTGAGGAAGGAACCTATGGTGATTCTATGAAACAGTGACAGACAACAAAGTTATCCCCATACACACTGCTCAACCACTTGGCTTTAGTGGTGGCCTGAATGAAAGCCATCAGATGCCACTGTACACTTTGGCCTGGTAGACTTTGTTGAGAAAGCCCTGAGGCCAAACCTCAGCAACTAGTGATGCGATGACTCTGAACATAAAATTCTTCCTTGACTCCACACCTCCCCCATACACCCACCCCCAAGTGCAGGGGACTGAACCCAGGGCTTTGCCCAGGCCAAGAGTTCTCTCCCACACTGAACCACACCCCCAGGCACTACACTCAATATAAGACCGACAAACCATTCACTTTGGGATGCAGATATTGCCTCTGTTTCCACCTTGACTTGGACCAGAAGCAATCAGAGAACCTAGAACGGACTGTACAAAGGCTTCTGGCAATATCACAAATGCCCAGCTAGCTATGCTCTCTATGGGCATGACTCTTGAGGTCCACATTACTCAAATGAAGCCTACCTGGCTGGCCAAAGGTGACTGGATGTTCAACTTGCCATTCTTGGGAATATCTATGCGGTATCCGAGCGGGAGGAAAGCATTAAATCCCACAATGAGGTCAGGGTGCTCATGGAAGAGCTGAGACACGCGCCTGATCACACCAGGGGTGTCGATGCTGAAAAAAAAGAAAGCAGTGGGCATGAGTCCTGGGAGCAAACTTTAAAAATCCACTCTCAAATGTCCGCGAGGTCACCAGAGCCCAAGCATAAGTGATGGCAAAGACTCCTACAATGGACCCCACCATGTTTTTGTTTTTCACATTTGAGACAGAATTTCTTTGTGTAGCCCTAGCTGTCCTGGAACTAAAACCATACTGGCCAAGTACTCAAGAGATCTCCCTGCTTCTGCCTGGGTTAAAGGCATGCACCACAACACCTTGCTTTAAAAAAAGCAAACAAACAAACAAACAAACAAAAAAACAGGGCAGCAACACAATGTGAGACCACCTGTGATTAAGTCCAGCAAGAAATCCACAGCTCCTAAGCCATCTGAGCTCCTGGGCCCAATTAGGAAAATGTGCCAAGACCTGGGTGCTGGGCTGAGACTCTACAGAAGGCCACATTTCTCCAAGCAATGTAAGATATTCCCTAGTATTTTATGAATCAGGGAAAGGTAAGGATACATTTTAGGTTTTTGTTTGTTTTCAAGACAGGGTTTCTCTGTGTAGCCCTGGCTGTCCTGGAACTCTTTATAGACCAGGATAGCCTCAAACTCAAGAGATCCATCTGTCTCTGCCTTCTGAGTGCTGGGATTGAAATGTGTGTCACCACTGCCCACCCTTTTTGTTTGTTTGGTTTGGTTTTTTAAATTAAACAAGAAGTGTTAACAGCAGAGCCTTCAAGTTAGGGACTGGGAAAAATGGGGAAACATTGAGAGGGTCGTCTACTGGCCTCAACATGCCAAATATCCAGAAGAAAACCAACCTAGGCCTTTCATACTTCCTGAGAGCAGACAATGGCAAAGCAATACCAAGATGTGTGGGAAGCTGAAATCCACCTGTCACTAAAGTAAGTTCTAGAAGGTACTAGAAGACACAGGCGAAGCACCCCACTACACCTAATAGCTCTGTGCCTACAACAGTTCGTGTCTTATATCCCTTATATCCATACAAGGGCCAAATTAGGAATGTTAGAAGTATCTTGAGAATAAGATTTAAGAAATGGTGCATCCCCCGTAAGTAACAATTTCCTGCAGTATTTACCAAAAACTGTTCCTAAAACAATCAAAATTTGTACCTCCAACATTTCATAAACAAAACTCTTTAGACATTTTCAAAATTGTTAATTTAAATTTTACTTTTTGCATGTGGGCTATTACCACAGATCCAAGTGCAAGTCCGAAGACAACTTGTAGGAGTCAGTTCTTCCCTATCATGTGGGCTCTGGGGCTGGAACACAGGTGGTCAGGCTTGGAGGCGGGCACCTTTTCTCTCTGAGCATCTCACTGACACCCAAATCAACATTTCAAATAAACACTGGACCCAGTGCTCTCTTTCCAAGCCAGGATCTCTCCCATCAGACCCTCAGAGGCACCTCATTCTGTGACTGTTTCAGAAGCTTCCCGGGCCCACCAAACCTATGCAAGGTCATCAGCTTAAAGGCCGGGGTGTAGTTAGTTTTTTTTTTGGGGGGGGGGAACGGGTCATTCAGCATACTGCTCCGGGGTGCACCAGACCCTGCAGGTTACCTCTGGCTTTTGAACTCCTTCATGATCTCCAGGAAGCCGTTGTAGGTGGCAGGGTCGCTGCCAAAGCGGATCTTCACCTGGTCAAGGTAGGTGAGAGCGTCCTCCACCTGCGAGGGACGAGAAGGCCGCGGGTGGGCCGGGGTCGCACAATGAGAGACTGTGGGACAGGGCTGCACAGGGCCTCGAGATTAACTGCGGGGTTCCGGGGAGGGCCGACGAGGGCGACCGAGGGCCAGCGGCCAGTCCCGAGGGGCCTCGGAGACCCGAGGAGTTCCGGGTTGGGCCGAGGAGCGGCGGGGAGGCCCGAAGGGTCTCGGGCTTGGAAAGCCGAGGGACGGCGACAGTAACTAAGGGCCAACGAAGACGGCGGGGGGGTGGGGGTGGGTCCGGAGCGCACCGCGGGGTCCGGGTGTGACAGGAACGACTGAGGGATGTCAGGGAGGGCCGCGGGACGGCGAGAGGCAGCGAAGCATTAGGGGGGGAACGAGGGGCCGCCGGGATGATCGAGGGGTTCCGGGGAAGGGGTGTGGGGTCCCCGGCTGCGCAGGGGAGGCCGAGGCGGGGACGCACGGCGCAGCGCCGGCCCGCGGGGCTTCAGGTCCCCAGGAGGAGTCCGGGAGCGTCACTCACGTGCACCGGCAGCTTCTCGTGGCCTCCGGAGCCCGAACGACCCCAGCGGGAGCCGCCGAACCCCCGGCCCGCGGAGCCTCCGCCGCCTGCGTGCGCCATGTTGGAAGTCAGATCCGCGTCTGCCCCGCCTCCGCCTGAGCCCAGGTCGCGCCTGCGCGGGTCCCGCCCCCGTGGGTGGAGCCTCGTGGCGTCACGATGGGGCATGTTCGCACGAGGAACTCTCGGAGGCACTGGGTGGGGTTGCGAGGCTGCGGGGCTGCGGGGCCGGTCGAAACGCGTGTTCTCTAGGGCTCTGTGGCGACCCGGAAGCCCAAAGATGTTTTGTTTTATTTTGTTGGGGGGAAAAATAATTTTCAGCCAAGTTGGAAAACATTTCAGAACTCACTAATTTTATAAAATTCACATTTCGGTGTCCAGGCTCGCCTGTCTTCTCAGTATCAGTAAGGCTGAGGCAGGAGGAGCACTGAGTTCCAACCCAGACTGGGCTGCGTAGTTAAGATCATGTCTTAAAAGACATTGACATTTAGGAGTTGACAATATCTCAACGGAAACAAGTCCACATTATCTGTTACTCAAGACCTGAAGAGATATTTATTTGTAAGGATCTGTTTCTTTCTGGAAAGTTCTGGACTCCTCGAATGTGGGGTTGGTGAGGCAGTGGGCTGTGGGTGAGCCACGTGGGCTTACTTTTCACACTGAGTGTGTGTGCAGAGGCCAGAGGTGGACACACTGGTGTCTTTAACCACCATCTTATATTTTGAGACCAGATCTCTCACTAAATCTGGAGCTCAGTGTCTCCACTGGACAGGGTAGCCAGCGACCCCTCTGTCTCCACCGCTGCAGGGCTGGAGTCAGAGCCAGCCAATGTGGATCTTCCTGCTTGCTTGCCGCAAGCCCTTCTCCCACTAAATCATCTATCCAGTCTTATTTTCTTGATCCCATTCACAGCTGGGTTGGAGCTTGAACCATGGCACTGCTGCTTCCAAACCTACTTTAGATTTTATTTTTGCGGAGCAGTGGCTGGGGCCCAGGGCTTTGCACGGGTTTGACAAGTGCTCTCTGGAGGCCTCACTAAGTAGTAGCACAGGTCACTCTCCAACTTGCAGTCTTCTAATCGCCCTGCCTTCACCTTCCGAGTACTTGGAAGTCAGGTGTGCCACCACTCAGCTCCAGATTTCCAACTTTCCCTTTTAGAGTTTTCCTAGGCTCATGGCAAGGCAAGTCAATGAGTGTAGGTTTACTTTAAGGTACAGATACACAAAGTCCATCCCAGCCACTGATTTTAAAATATACAACAAGAAAAACACTATTTACTTGTGGGTGAAGTTATTCAAATGCATAATTCTTCCTATACTTTCCTATAGAAATGTCCCATTTCATAAGTATATCTGTGGCCAGGCATGATAATGAACACCTAAAAGCCCAGTACTTGGGAGGGGGAGGGCTTTGCAGTTAGGAGCACTGTTGCTCCTGCCGAGGGCCTATGCCTGCTTCCCAGGATCCACATAGTGGTCACACTGCTTGTAAATTCAGCTCCGGGGGCTGTGACACCTTCACTGACCCCCACTGGCACAAGTAGTACTCAGACATACACATGCATCAAACGCTCATATTCACAAAATAAAGGACTTTTAAACAAACGAAAAGGGTGGAAACCCTGACCCCCATATGTGTGTGCATACTCCTGTACACACGCAAGTGCACATGCACCACACATGTACACAGTAAGATAAACACAGGATCCACTCTCTAGAGAGCCACACACCCATCCTTCCTAGTCAACTCTCACCTCTTAGCGTCCACCTCCCGCCAGTGTCTGCACACTGTGCAGATGTGCTCACAGAACATGGCCTTGGCTGGGCCCCCTTCACTGTGCGTGTCAAAGGTGACTGGGCTTTATGCTCATGCTTAAGACTCCAGAAGAGCCAGCTGTGTTGGTGGTGCACGCCTTTAACCCCAGCACTCGGGAGGCAGAGGCAGGCGGATCTCTGTGAGTTCGAGACCAGCCTGGTCTCCAGAGTGAGTTCCAGGATAGGCTCCAAAGCTACACAGAGAAACCCTGTCTCGGAAAAACAAACAAACAAACAAACCAAAGACTGCAGAAGAGTTTGTTTACTGGCAGGCATGGTGACCACCTGTCCTTCCAGCAATTAGGAGGCAGTGACAGGATCCCTAGGGCAAGCTGGCCAGCGAGAAAATGGTTGAACTGGCTAGCTCCAGGCTAAGTGAGTGTGCTGGGTAGTTTTGTGTCAACTTGACACAAGCTAAGAGTCATTTGGGAAGACGGAAAAACTGAGAAAGCGCCTCCATCAGACTGACCTGAGGGCAAGTCTGTGGGGACATTTTTATGATTGATGTGGGAGGCTCCAGTCCACCGAGGGTAGTGCCAATCCTGGGCTGCTGGTCCTGGGGTGTTTAAGGAAGCAGGCTGAACAAGTCATGGGGAGCAAACCAGTAAGCAGCACCCTCCATGGCCTCTGCTTTGGCTCCTGCCTCCAGACCCCTGCCTTATGTTCTTGAGTCCCCTCAGCGATGGATTGTTTGTGGAACTGTGAGCTTCTTCCAGTCATGGTGTTTCGCCATAGTAGTACATGAGTATAGCAAGTGACTCTGATTCAGTATATGAGGTAAAGATGGATGAAGGCAGACACTTAAGGTCAGCCTCCAAGTGACTATGCACACGTATGCATGTGATCTGGTACAGGCCAGAGACTGAAATTAAGCTGGGCGTGGTGATGCTCACCTGTCATTCCAGTACAGCCTGGGCTACAGTACAGCCATGTCTCCAACAGCAAGAGGAAGGGAGCACAAGGGAGGCTTGGCCTCAGTTTCCTGACAGAAAGGGCTAGCCTGCAGGTCAAAGGCAGAACAGAAAATCAACCCTGCTAGCTTTTGCTCCCAAAGACAGGCAGGTCCCTGGGAACTGAGGTTTGGCCTTGAGCTGGCATCCTGTGAGATACTGAACAAAGGCCCGGTAACACTGAGCAGAATTGCTGATCCACAGAAGCAACCAGATAAAAACATGCTGGTGTTGGGCACATCTTGCAACAATTTGTTACCGAGCAACAAAGAACCAACTCAGCCCCCAAGTCCTTGCCCCAGAAAGCGCCCTCCCAGGGTGCCCGCTGCTGTGAGAACTGCTGAGTCAGAGAGCTTGTTTATCAATCGCAAACCCTGCTCTGCCAGGAGACAGGCTGACAGTGCAGGGTTGAGTGTGTGGAGCAGGAAGATTGGGGGTGGGCGCTCCTCTCAATGTGGCTCTGAAGGAAAGTAGTCTTAAAAAAAAAAAAAAAAAATCTAGGCCAGGCACCGAGGCACTTAGGAGACTGAGGCAGGAGAATCCCCATGAGTTTGAGGTCAGCCAGGGCTTTTTAAAAACCTGTCTCTAAAAAAAAAAAAAAAAAAAAAAAAAAAAAACCTGTCTCAAAATAACAGTGAAAATCTCCTACTAAAAAAAATTACAGCTTGGGCCATTGAGATGGCTCAGTGGGTAAATAAATATGCTTGCTGCCAGGCCAGATGACGTGAGAGCAATATTCCAATACCACACAGTGGTCCTGCAAATTGTCCTCTGACTTGACCTACACATGCCTGGTATGGCACGGACCCAGGGTCCTAGTCACTTGTATTGCCATGAAGAAACACCATGACCAAGACAACTCTTAGAAAAGAAAGCATTTAATTGGGGGCTTGCTTATAGTTTCAGAGGTTTAGTCCATTATCATCATAGCAGGAGCATGGTGGCAGGTGCTAGGGAAGTAACTGAGGAGACACATCCTGACCCATAGGCAGAGAAAGAGAGAAAGGCCTGGCATGGACTTTAGAAACCTCAACGCCCACTTCCTCCAGCAGGCCACACCTCCCAATCCTTGCAATCTTTTCAAACAGGTCTACTTCCTAGTGACCAAGCATTCAAGTGTATGAGCCTATGGGGGCCATTTTTATTTAAACCAGCACACTCAGCCACACACACCCACACAGGCCCCTAAAAAAAATGTAAAAACAATTTTAATTTTTTGTTTGGGGTCAGCGTGATGACTCAGTGCGTAAAGCAACTACCATAAAAGTGTCAGAGCTGAGTTCAAATCCCACATATCCACATAAAACCAGATTGCAATATCAGAAGTCATCATTGCAGCACTTCTGAGGGAGATGAGACCGGGGACAGAGAACCTGGAAGCTCAAAGGCCAGCCTGGCTCCTGAAGCAGTCAATCAAAGACCCAGCCTTACCAGGCGGTGGTGGCACACGCCTTTAGTCCCAGCACTCGGGAGGCAGAGGCAGGCAGATCTCTGTGAGTTCAGGACCAGCCTGGTCTACAAGAGCTAGTTTCAGAACAGCCTCCAAAGCCACAGAGAAACCCTGTCTCAAAAACAAAAGAGTATCATAGTTGTTAGACCCCCGAAAACTCAAGTACTCGGGGTCCCAGGCCACGTTCGCGGTCACCCCAATCACCAGGCGGATTCGAGAGCTTGCTGCAAACTGCACGAGGCTTTATTGTAATTTAACGAGCTAACCCCATGTTAGCTTGGGTCTTTCACCCACCCGGCATGGCGGACAGCTAGAAAAGACGGCTTGGAGCTGCTGCGCATAGATCGTTATAGGGCAGCGTAAGGGGAGTGTCTGGGGGGTACGCACAGGCTCACAATTGGTGTGCCTCCAGGCTTGGAGGGCTTGCCCTGTGTTGATTGGTCAACTGGTTGTTATGGCTCATAGGCCCTCCCCGGGTGGTTGCTATGCTCTCTACGTCATTGCTGTGCGCTTGTCCGTAAAGCACACCCAGAGCCATAAAGCATAGCGCCACCAGCTAACTTCTGATTGGTTCCCTGTCACGAGACAGGAATCTGACTTTCTAGTGTCTAGGGCAAGGTCATAGAAACATATGTTCGGCCGTTATGGCTGCCAAAAGGGAAGCCAGTTCCTTCATAGTCACCTTATATTCCCCATCATACCATCAGTCTGATCTCCAGTAACTAATAGAAACACTTTCATTAACAACAACAAAAAAAGACCCAGCCTCAAAGTGACCTTTGACCTCCACCTGCAACTGATAGCACACACACACACACACACACACACACACACACACACACGCACGCACGCACGCACGCACGCACGCACACGTGCTCGAGTATGACAGCACAAA